TAATGATTCTATGATTCTGTGATTACAAAGAATTAAGATTTTCGTTGTACATAAATTCTCAAAGCAATGTTAACTTTACACTTATAAAAGCTATACTTTTTGTGAAATTACACTAAAAATTATATGCAAAGCTTTTTCCTTGCAGTATAAACTATTCAAATACAAATGTTACTGTCAATCTTTCAAATAATTTATTAGTGGTTGCTGATGCTTGTTTTGCAGAATTTCTAAAGCAGATTTTCAATTGGCAGCTCTTTCCTTATGTTATACTTGATTTTTTTCTTGTTGACCGTTGCAAGGATATCAGAAAAAATACTCAAAATAATTATCAAACTTAAAACTGCTTCCTTACTTGGGTACCATGGACACCCCAGGGACCATTTTTTACCACGTTGGTGCTTATTGCTGATTATAAAGATAGTAAAGATGTTGACACTCCCTAAAGCTTTCATTATAAATTAGCTTCAAAATTAAATTGCTATTGTTTCTCCCAGATGTAGATCCATTGAGGTTTAAAACTGTTTTTAATCGTATTAAGCTTAAACCCTATGCATTTTTAAATCTATTTTTGAACACTGACCTCATTCTTGAGTAAACAGAAACTGCTTGCTCTTCCTATAGTCAGCAGTTGTTTAGACTTACAGAAGGCTTGCTAAAAAATTGTTGGGTCTGTCGTACGTAAGTGGTGTGCTGCTTGATCAGTATTACTTGCAATCACTGAATCTGTAGTCAATGCTCAGCATATTAAGAAAATGTATATTAATCATAATAAATGTTCATGATGCTTTGATTTGATATGACAACGAACTCCTTTTGAATGAAGTTTCTGTAATATGAAGATGATTTTTTTAAGAATTATAAAAATGTGCATACTACTATATATTTACCTATGTAAACTTACAAATAAGTGATAAATCACTCAATGGTTTATTTCCGTATCTTGTACAACTGATACCATGGATAATGGAATGAAGTTAGAATTCTTTAAAAAGTTAAAAATTACAGTAAAAATACAAAATCTGAAAAGATTTAACATTCTATGGCTTAAGTTGTCTCTGCAAGTTCTGAATGTGGAGTATCTACTTTTTATATCAGTGCTTTAGTTTCTCAAATATTCTGTTAAATTCCAGATTTACGTTGAAACAAGAAGAGGAAAAGAGGCTCAGAGTAGAAACGCTGTATGAGAAAACAAGAGAAAAACTTAGAAGGAAAGATGATCAATATTGTAAAGAGATGGAGGAGAAACAGCAGCTTGAGTTACACTCAAGGAATTTAGAAATGGAGTTAATAACTCTGAGAAAGCTCTTGAAACAGGTATATTAAATAGTGAGTTAAACACTTGTCGTCTTATTTTTTGTTTCTTTTTAACTGACATTGTATTCCAGTATGCCTAAAGAAGGAGGTACGTTGTTCATGGAAGAAGCATTGGATAACTGTTGCAAATTTTGAGGACAGTTGAGAACAGTTGGTTCACAAGTAGACTGTTCTGGTTTGGGTTTTTTTGGTGGTTTGGTTGGGTTTTTTTTTCCTTTGCAAGTTCATTATTTCTTTTCTCCTTTTTCAAAATTTAGGTTTCATTTGTATTTCAGGCAAAGCCTGACTTTGAGTTATTTTTCTAAATTACTACAAAACATTCTGTATTTCTTCTTAATTTTTCTGAAGAAAATTAAAATTTATTATTTGTAGATGGATTATCATACCTGTGGGGAAGCAAAAATATTTGAAAGAAAACAAAGGAGAATTGGGAAGATATTGCTAGCTCTGATTTTTTTCAAGATGCAGGTAGTTTAATTGTATTACTGTAGGTTGAAGAAGAGCGTGATGAAACACAGAGACAGCTCTCTCAGGAAAAGAGTGCAAGAGCCCTGCAAGAAGGAATTTTGAACAACCACCTTTGGAGACAGAAAGAACTAGAAGAAGAGACAAGAAGAACTATAGGAAAAAATTCAGAGGTAAGCAGATTTTTTTTCTAATTAATTAAATTTCACCATGTTTGTTCTAAAGTCATAATAAATCTTATATAATTTTTTCTGCTTCTTGATGGATTATTTACAGTTTAGCAATGTAACTTAACTGGGTAAATACTTTTTCTGTTTTAACTTATGTCTTTAAAAGTTCTGGAAAGCAGCATCAGTCCTGTATGTACCTGAATTGCATGTACAAGTAGGAAACTAATAGAAGACATTATTTACCCCTTAAGCTATCTGTTATTTTTCATTTCATACACATTTTATCATCACTTCTTAAGGTTTCTAGCAGTGAAAGACCTAGCTAACTACGTCAAGGTTGACGAGAAAGTTGTTTGACGCTCACTCTTTGTGTTCCCATTACTTGGGGTTTTTTAATTACTTATTCCCTGATCAAACTTACTTACTTCAAGTATGCCTTTCTTTTCTACTGCCACATACTAAAATTTTATGAAGGAGTATCAGCAATGAATTAAACTCTCTGTAGGAGTTAGAATAATTGGAGGAGAAAAAGCAATCATAAAACGCTGTATTAAAAAAAAAAATCTTGAAGAGAGCTTACTGAATTTACTAAGAATGTGCAGTGCTTGGAAGAATTATTTGTTCTTGGCTGTGCTGCCCAATAAATGTAGGGTGAATATGTTTATATGGAAAAAAGTTATATATACAATAAACAGGAAATAACAAGACTATTGCATTCCAGGGATGATTGAGTTGTATAGTTAACTTTCAGTAATACAAAAGATAAGTGTTAAGAAGACATTTGACAACTGGTACAAGATGAAAGGTAGCATTTATATTTATTGCAATTTTGCTAAATGTCCCAGAAGGAAAATACCCTTTTTAGCCTTGTTTTTACCAGATTTGTAACACAGCTAAATTAACCTTAAAGGGAATATTTTAAAGGTATGCACATACAAGAAAGCACTGTCATTTTTAAAAGCTTTATACTTGAGATATTTTAAATAATTTTATTATTTGGTTGCTGGTTTAAGGAAAAAGAAGGCATTGTATATTTGGGATGTTCATTTAGGTTTTAAAGGGTATGTTACACTTCCAGTGTGTGCATACATTGTACATGTGCTCACATGTACATGGGTTCATAGAGTAACTTATGTATTAACTGAAATTTCACTCTCATCTTTGAAGTCATGCTTCAGTATTAGAAATGTTAAAAAGCAGTTTGATGCTGAAGTGGTTTTGTAGATTCATTTCCCAACTGGCTATTTTTTCATGTTCCCTGCCATTCAGGAATCTGACACTGAGAGAGAAAAGGATCTGTTGTTCAAAAATCAGTTACTACAAGATGAGATTGCTATGCTAAGACTAGAACTTGATCAAGTAAGACTTAGGCACCAGGAGGAAGAAGGAAAATATTTAGAGGAGAATGAGACCTTGAAAGAAAAAAATGAAGATCTCAAAAAGGAACTTAAACTGAACGAGGAAGCCTTAACACAAACAGTTTTTCAGTACAATGGACAGCTGAACTTATTAAAGACAGAATCTGCAGTGCTAACTTCCAAACTTGAGCAGACAAAAGAAAGCAAAGACAGACTAGAGACAGAAATTGAATCATTTCGTTCCCGCCTGAACACTACTGTTCAAGAACTTGAACGTCATCAGTCATCAAAAAGTGATGTTGAACGAACGTTTCAGAGAGAACGTGATGAATGGCTTCGCTTGCAAGACAAGCTCCATCACGACCTCTCTGATGTGCGAGAAACCAACAAGAGCTTGTCTCAGCAGCTGAGTAAAGCTGAAAGCAAAGCTAATAGTCTAGAAAATGAGCTTCACCAGTTGAAACAAACGCTCAGAGAAAAAACATTGCTTTTAGAAATGACACAAAAAGAATTAAGTCAAGCCCAGTGTCAGGCAAAGGAATGCGATCATGCTCGACAACTTGAGAAAGATCAAGTAAGCAAATTTTTAATAAAGCAGGAATCCATGCAGGAGCGATTGGCCCAGCTCCAGAGTGAAAACATTTTACTCCGTCAGCAACTGGAAGATATGCAGAACAAGGGGATCATCAAGGAAAAAGTAGTGAATGATGTGCAGGACCGGTTTAATGATATTTTCAACAAACTCAGAGCTGATACTGAAAAGCAAGTTTACCTAGTGGAAGAGAGAAACAAGGAATTAAATGCCAAGTGTACTGATTTAAGAGAACAAGTCTTTAAATATGAGACTGACAAAGTAGAAAGAGAGGTAAAGTATACACTTAGAAAGAACAATTTAAAGTTTGTCAGTTCTTGAAGTTATTTTATGTTTCTAAAATGTACCAGGTATAAGTTATACGCGTGGGACCAAATAATGCTGATTTGTTCTGATTGATCGTGTTTCTGTTGGAATTGTGGAAGTTTTTGGCAAACAGGATGTTACTGCTCAGATCTGAGCAGAGAACAGAAAAAAGGTATCCCAAGTCTAAGCTTTGATCAAGAAAGGTGATTCTTCTCTAGATGTTTTTTCATCTCTTTTCCTTTGTCTATTTTATGCCCTATAGAATGGTTTTATGTATTTGATGGGTTTTATATATGTATTGCACTGATGACATAAATAAGAGTGGTATAAAAGGAAGAACCATCTAATATGCAAGGGTTGAGAAATGAAGATGCAGACAAGTGAAGTGGGGGATGAACTTATATTAAGCTTCTATAGAGAAAAAAAATCACTTCTTCATAAGTTGTTATCAAAATTGAAGAGTATTAGTAGTGTCCAGGTGTTAAATTTATGCATGTGTTTTGGGGGCTCCAAGGGGCCTGCCTGTTCCTCAAGAAGTTCATTTCATACACCAGCCTAAGCTTTCTTTTCTCTATTTTATGATGTGTAGCCATATTTAAATGTGTTCTTTCTTTCTGGCTCTCTGAAACACTAATTAACTGGACAGGAGACTAATTAGGAAATCAGTTAAACTGTCTTTCTGCAAATTGACACAGTACATGAGTATGAAACATGCCCCTATGCAGAGCACTAGCATAATTTTTTGTCGCTCAAACATGCATGAACCAAGTGTTGCTCCCATTTCTGCATGTAGATGGTTTTTGTCAAGAAAAAGGGTGGAAGAAAGTAAAGGCGGGCATAGGAGTGAGGAATAGGTAGACAGTTGAAAAAGCTATTAGTAATGGGAGAATGCATCATTATATATGTTCCTAGGAGTAGGTAGGGTCTTCTCTATTGATAGAGTATTCTACCAATTCTAGGTAGAGCAATGATTTAAAAGCTGCCTTACCCATTTTGTTTAATCTTTCTTTACTTTCTGGAAAATAAGAACTAATCACATTCAGCATTTAGACACTCTGGTGTAAGGTTTGTCTCCCTTAATGATTTAAATAGTGATTTAAAATAATTACATTTCCGTCTTCATAATCCAGAATTTTTGAGTAAGATAAATATCTGCATGTGTCAGATAACCACCTTATTCTTCATTTGTCAGTTACTTTAAGGCGGGGAACAGGGGAGGAGGAAAGAACTCCAGCAGTGCTGTCAATCATTTTAATCTGCAAATTGCTTTGTATTCTCACTACCAAAATAAGAGGTTCCTTTTGAAGATACTAGATACATACATATGAACTATCCAGATTTTTGTAAACCTAATCTGTCAGTATAAAGGCAGTTGTTATTCTAAAATGAGCTCGGAAAGAAGACTGCAAGATGATGTGATTCAACATACACTTAAAGTGTATTTCAAAGGAGCCTTCAGATATATGTATTCATTTAATTATATTTGTATAATGGAGGAATAGAACAAAGAACAATCTAATACAAAGTCCTGCCTTTGGTCATCAGAGTAATATCTGCAGTCAAATTATAGCTCTTATATCGCAACGGATTTCTTTGGGTTTTGTTATAAAAAACTACATGGTTGCAGCGTGTGCTTCTGTATTGTCCCAGGAAGAATAATACTTGGGCCTTTTTTATATATTAGGAAACAGAAATCCTCATGAACAGCTGCTGATAGTTTGGAGGTGCTCAGCTGAGAAAGAGGAAAAGAGGTCATAATCGGTGCAGATGCCTGCTGGTAGCAGGCAAAATTTCATACCTTTGAGTTCAATCGGAAGACAGGTCTAATTGTATGATCAAATAAGTTAAAGTAAAGGCATATTTCATGTTCTTACAATTTTCTCCATGCTCATTTAACTGTTTCATTAGGGCATGGTCAGACAGCTGCAGCAGGAGCTTGCTGATGCTCTTAAAAAGCAATCTATGTCAGAAGCTTCACTTGAAGTTACTACACGCTATCGCAGTGACCTGGAGGAAGACAAATTGCGCTTGCAAAAGGAATTGGAAAAGGTTAAAACCAAGGTATGTAATGTCTGTAGCTATATGAATAAACCTGAGGGTAGCTGTTGAAAGTAGCTAGAATGTTGTTCTAAAACCTAGAAAAAAACTTCAACAGGATAGATTTAATGATGTGTGAATGAATTGCACTGTTTTATAAACTTGGTGTCAAAGACCTTCCAATCGTGGACATGAGGACACTATATCCTTACTTGGACAAAGGTTTGTATTTGCTAAGGTGCTTTGCAAAATAAACTGACCTGTCTATAGCTTATTGCGTTTGGCTTGGCCAAGCAGGTTGTCTAATTTCTGAAGAACAGTAGAAATAGTGGACTGCATTTGGGCTTTTTTATGCTGTCAATGCTTCTCCTGCCACCAGGTAACATGTTGTCAATTCTGAATGCTTTTGTAACTTATTCTGCATATATTTTTTTTTTTTTTTTTCTTCTTCCCTTTCCTTTTTCTTCTTCCCCCCCTTCTTTGTCCCTGCTATAATTTGCCATCCTTAAGTGGCCTTCTTGCAAGTGAATTGTAAGCTACT